CCCGCCGGTCCAGCTGCCGGCCTCAGGCCCCCCTCCTTCCCTGCCGGGGCCCCCAGCCTAGGTGGGGCCCCGGCGAGGACTTCCGAAAGCTGGCACCAAAAATGCCTCTGTACAAAGGCAAAGGTGCCTCCACCCCGCCCTCCTCAACCAGGCCCCCGCGGTTCCCTCCCCAGCCCGGACTCCTTCTCACCCAGAAACTGGGCGCGAGCCTGGTGGGGGCTGAGCGCCTGCATCTGCTGCCGGTGCTGGCCGAGCAGGCTGAGCCACGCCGAGGCGGCCACAGTGCGGTAGAGCTGGGCCGGGATGTACTCCTGGGCCTCGCGCCTGGCGTGCAGGGAAAGGCCGCGCTGAGTGCCGCCAGGCTTTACGCTAAACCTCCTGGACCCCCACTCACTGCGGCATGAGGCTGACTCAGTGCCTGGGCACACAGCAGGTGCTCAATAACCTCTGAGCAGTGCCACTAGGCTCCCCGTTTGCAGAGGAGGGAACAGAGACCCTGAGAAGTTTACCAGCCAGTCCAAGGTCACACAGTGACCGGGCCGGGCCGAGGCTTGAACCCAAGGTGGGTTCGTCCTTTGTAGCCCCCGCCCCAGGGAGAAGCCCAAGCCACAGGGGTGAGAAGCACACGCTGAGGTAAGTATCGGGGCAGCAAAGCAACCACCAGTGGCTGGTCAGAGCCGGAGGGCACAGAGCACTGGGCCCACCAGGCCAGGCCTCCCCCTGACACATGCTGGCTCCCCTGGAGCAGCCCTGTGTCTCGGGACATCTGAAAAACACCAGCAAATACCGGTCCCCGCTGCCATGGGCTGCACACTGGGGAAGGGGGAACGTCAGGGGAACCCCCCCAAAAGACCCTCCGGGCAATATCTTTCCTCTCTACTCTGCTGGGTAAGAGCCTAGCATCTGACCCAGTCTCCCCAGGTCTGGATCCTGGTCCTACCACCTATTAGCTGGGGAAGCCATATCCCCTCTCTGGGCCTCGGTTTCCTCACTTGTAAAAGGGGTAAAGAAAGTGCGGTTGGGGACTTCCCTGGTGGCACAGTGGTTAAGACTACGCCTGCCAATGCAAGGGACACGGGTTCGAGCCCTGCTCCGGGAAGATCCCGTATGCCGCGGAGCAACTAAGCCCGTGCACCACAACTACTGAGCCTGCGTGCTACTACTACTGAAGCCCGCGCGCCTAGAGCCCGTGCTCCGCAACGAGAGAAGCCACCGCAATGAGAAGCCCGCGCACCGCAATGAGAAGCCCGCGCACCGCAACGAAGAGTAGCCCCCGCTCGCCGCAACCAGAGAAAGCCCGCGCGCAGCAACAAAGACCCAATGCAACCAAAAATGAAATAAATAAATAAATAAATTTATTAAAAAAATTAAAAAGTGCGGTTGGGGAGATTAGCTGAGACAATGTATGCAGAGTGCCTTGCAAAGAGTAGGAATGCCACAGCTGTCTTTCTCCAGGGCTGGGATGATACCTTTCTGTGCTTCCTGCACTTTCCCCTTAAAATGACAGCACGGAAAGAGAGTTGGGTGCTGAGCCCTTACAGTGTGCTGGGCACCGGGACATCCTCTGTCCACACTCCACTGCCTTCCCTACGCTGGTTCACACCAGGGGCTCTCACAGTGTGGCCGAGGGTCTGGGAGGGCAACGCCACTTCCTTAAGAACCTGAGCGGTCATCTGCTCTCCCCTCTCGTTCCCTCACAAGTGCTCGGTGGAGTACGCCAGCGGCTTGGTGACACGTGAGATCACAACAGACTGACAGAGAGGCAGAGACAGGCATCCAGCTGCCGTCTGTCACGCCAAATGGTACAGAGATTTGCAGAATGTAAAACAGTGCCGCTCTTCTCACTGGAGTTTTTGGGAAAATACACTTGTGTTTTCATAACTTATTTATATTAATGTGTAATGTTACCTTCCACTATTTGTATTATAATTATCACATATACGCCTTTAATATTAACACGGGGTGTCCTTATTTTTAATTACTAAGTCAATATTTTAAATCGTTTCTCAGTTTTAATTTTGAATAGTGTAAATATATCAATAGATACAACGCACAGAAACAAAAGCCCTTTGGGGTCTTATTTTTAAGAGAGTAGGGGACTTCCCTGGTGGTGCAGTGGTTAAGAATCCACCTGCCAATGCAGGGGACACGGGTTCAAGCCCTGGTCCAGGAAGATCCCACATGCCGCGGAGCAACTAAGCCCGTGTGCCACAACTACTGAGCCTGTGCGCCTAGAGCCCACGCTCTGCAACAAGAGAAGCCACCGCAATGAGAAGCCCAGGCACTGCAACGAAGAGTAGCCCCTGCTCGCCGCAACTAGAGAAAGCCCGTGCGCAGCAACCAAAGACCCAGTAGGGCTTCCCTGGTGGCGCAGTGGTTGAGAATCTGCCTGCCAATGCAGGGGACACGGATTCGAGCCCTGGTCTGGGAAGATCCCACATGCCGCGGAGCAACTAGACCCGTGAGCCACAACTACTGAGCCTGCGTGTCTGGAGCCTGTGCTCCGCAACAAGAGAGGCCGCGATAGTGAGAGGCCCGCGCACCGCGATGAAGAGTGGCCGCCGCTTCCCACAACTAGAGGAAGCCCTCGCACAGAGACCAAGACCCAACACAGCCAAAAATAAATAAATAATTAATTAAGGAGCCAGATTTTTTAAAAAAACCAATGCAGCCATTAATTAATTAATTACTTTGTTAAAAAAAGAAAAAGAGTAAAAAGGCCCGAAGACGGAGAGCCTGGGATGGCTGATGTCTCGCCTCTTCGAAAACATCAGTTTAAAGGCTGCCTGACACCCCACAATTTGTTTTTTAATATTTATTTATTATTTAGGCTGCAGTGGGTCTTAGTTGTGCCACGCGGGATCTTTTATTTATTTTTTTTAATTTTATCTTTTAAATTAATTAATTAATTTTTGGCTGTGTTGGGTCTTCGTTGCTGTGCACGGGCTTTCTCTAGTTGCAGTGAGCGGAGGCTACTCTTGGTTGCGGTGCGCGGGCTTCTCATTGCGGTGGCTTCTCTTGTTGCGGAGCAGGGCCTCTAGGCGCATGGGCTTCAGTAGTTGTGGCACACGGGCTCAGCAGTTGTGGCTCGCGGGCTCTGCAGTGCAGGCTCAGCAGTTGTGACGCACAGGCTTAGCTGCTCCGCGGCATGTGGGATCTTCCCGGACCAGGGCTTGAACCCATGACCCCTGCAGTGGCAGGCGGATTCTTAACCACTGCCCCACCAGGGAAGTCTCCCCACAAGTTTTTTAAGGAATTCCCTGTCGTCGGAGATTGTAGGTGACACCACGGTGAACGTTTCCATGGCCAAATCTTTCTGCGGGGCCATGTGTGTTTCCTGGACCACAGGGTGTGTGTCCTGAAAGCTTTTTATCACTCAGTTTGCTCTGAGCTATTACTACCAGCTGGAAGCGACCTATCGTGCCCGGAGGTGGGGTCCCAGCTGGACGGGCTGGGCTGGGTGGGTGCTCACGTGCTGGGCAGGTGGAAGTGGTCCTTGGCTCGGTGCTGCAGTGCGGCCAGTTTGGACACTTGCTGCAGCTGCTGCTCGCCGGGCTGGCCGGCCGGCATGCTGCTGAACAGACCCTTCAGGTAGTCGGGCAGCACCTGTGGGGGACGGGGTGATGCAGGTGAGGGTCCGCGGGCGGCCAGGCACTGGGCAGGCAACTGGGGAGGCGCAGACACAGACACTGAGTGGTTCCAGCCCCACTCACTTCCAGGGGAGGGTGGCCTGTCACTTCCCTGGGCTTCTGGGAGGAGTGACACATGACGGTGAGCTGGGAGGGCTGTGGCCAGGAAGCCACAGGACCCCGGGAAGCATTGGCACCCGCCTGCAGCATGCAGGACCTGGGGTCCCATTTCCACAAGTCCTCAGGCTGCCGCTGGCTGACCCGCAGGCAGAAGAGCCCAGTGGCCGGATTTGGACTCGGAACGGCCGCAGCTTCGGCACCAGCTCCAGAGAAGCACGCGCTCTCTGTCCAAGCACATCCGCAAGTGTCGGCACAAGAGGAAGAACCAGGCTTTGTTAACCCCACCACCCTAACTTAGACGACCAAGTCTCAACGGGGAGGGGCAGCACCACGAAAATGACAAGGCCAGGCAAAGCCTCTCAGCGAGGGACAGGCCAAGTGCTCAGCGCGGGAGGGGAGCCAGAGGAAGGAGGGCGGGGTGGCCTCCTGAAGCGGTGCCATCTGGGCAGCCTCGCCGGAAGACTCAGAAAAGCAGAGCCCGCAGGGAGCAGACGCCTTGGGGCCCGAATCATGAAGGCCTCAAACGCCAAGGCCCAGGGGAGCCCGCAAAGTTCCAGAGCCTCAGAGCGGCCCGCGCGCTGACCTGATTGTAGTGCATGGTCACGTAGAGCTCATTCTCGAACTTGAGCGGCTGATCCCAGAGCACGCGCCGGAACCACAGCGTGTAGCCACCATCCACCTGCTCCATCTCCGAGGCCACGTCCAGGATGTAGGCGCGACGGCTGAGTGGGCACACGTGCTGGCCTGTGGGGAGCCGGGGTCAGCTGGCTGGGGTACGAGTGGCAAGCCCCCTCCCCGCTCTGGGACACAGCATCCTCAGTAAAGGAGAGCACGTTTATGGGACAGGGTGCCTGTGTTTGTGGAAGTTGTAACCGCAAGCTACAGCCCGCCTAGGTCTAGGGAAGTGCCCTGCGTGGTGCTCAGAGAAAGCCTAGCCCCTTTCCAGAGGAGGGCTGGGGACAAGGAGGGGCACACGAGGCCTCAGGTCAGGAGGGCCAGTGGATGCCTTTCTGCAGAGCTCCTTCAGGGGAGAACCCCCTGCCGGTCTCCTGGGGCGGGTAGGGAGGACTGTGGGGTCTGGCGCTGAGTGGGTCTCAGCCTGTACGAGAGGCTTAAGTTTTCATTTCCTGAACTGACATTTCTGCTTCCATCCCACACCTTCGGTAAAATTTTACCAAAGCGGGGGCGGGGTGGCACGATGATAAAGTTCAGACTCTCGAGGACAGACAGTCTGGGCTCAAATCCCAACTGTGTGACCTTGGGTAAGTCCTTTAATCTCTGCAGCAGGCTGAATAACAGCCTGACCCCAAAGATATCCCCGTTCTGTTCCCCACCACCTGTGAATATGTACCTTCATGGCAAAGGGGACTTTGAAATGTGATAAAGGACCTTGAGATGGGGAGATTATCGTGGGTACCCAAGTGGACCCAGTGTAGTCTCAAGAGTCCTTAAAGAAGGAGAGATTGGAAGATGCTACGCTGCTGGCTTTGAAGATGAAGGAAGGGGCCGTGAGGCAAGGAATGTGGGCACCTCTAGAAGCAGAAAAGGCCGGGAAAGAGACTCTTTCCCAGCGTCTCCAGAAGGAGTCAGCCCCGAGGACACTCTGGTTTCAGGACTTCTGACCTTCAAACCATATGATAATAAACCTGTGTTGTTTTAACCCAATGAGTATGTGCTGATTTGTTATGGCGGCAACAGGAGACTAATACAGTCTCCCTGGGCCTCAGTTTTCCCATCTGTAAATGGGAACAGTAACCATCTCATTTCATATGGTTGTGGTGGGGATTAAAGCAGTTTATAGGATGACATGCTCTCAGCAGTGCCTGGGACATAGCCTCTGCTCCATAAATTCAGTTATTGGGATCATTTTGTTACTGCCTTCCCCTCCCCCTGTGTCTTGGCTGGACTCCGGGCAAGGAGGGCTGAGGATACATGGTTCGGAGCCGAGGCAGCAGCGGGAGAGCTGGTTGGAGGTGGATGGAACTGACAGGCTGGTGGCAGGAAGCAAGGCCACAGCCTACAGCAGGTGGGCTGCAGGGGGAAGGGGTTCGGCTGAACTGAGAAGGGCCAGGTGAGACCAAGGGTGGGGGCCCTTACGGCCACTATTAAGGCGTTAAGAGACAGGAAAAAGTACTTGCACTTGTGGGTCCAGGAGTCGCATCCTATCAAGTCTCATCCTCCTTGAGGGCAGGGCCCACTGAGTGGCCCGAGGGGCAGAGGGAGGCATCAGGGGAGCCCTGTCTTCCAGGAACTCGCGATCTGACGGGCCAGGCAAGCTCACGTAGAATGAAGCAGAGAGGGGCAGACGCAAGGCTGGGGGCGCTCGGGACAGGGAGGGCCCTCTACCTGGGCCTAGGGGCTTCCTGGAGGAAGTGGCATCTGACCTGGGCCTTACAGTGGGGGTGGTGGGCGTGGTCCCAGCATGCCGCACCCTCTGGCCTCTGGCCACTCACCTCGGTTGGTGACAACAAAGATGACGTACTCATCAAAGGCCTCGGGGCGGGTCAGAGCCATCTCAGCACAGATCTCCCCCACCACGTCCAGGGCCACCTGCGGTGAGGGAAGCGTGAGGCTGCGCTGGCCTGGCGACCTCTGCCCCCAAGCCCACCCAGACCCTGTGCGCAGAGGCGAGGATCCCCAAGGTCCCTGGGAGCCAGCCTCATGCAGGAAAGGGCACAGCTTTTGGAGTCTGAGAGACTCGGGTTCCGAGTTGGCCTGTCTCTTATTTGCAGTTTGATCCGGAGCTGGAGGTCCCACCTCCCCCAGGCTCAGGCTGCTCCTCTGAGAGATAAATCCTGCCTAGTGGGGGAGCCTGGGGGGCTCAGCACCCTTAGGGGCCCACCCTGGAGGCTGGGGTCCCTGCCCGACGGAGACATCCCGTCACTTACGGTGCACGTTTTGATCTTGAGGTGGCGCTCGAGGCCTCCGGGGAGAAGAAAGAGCTGCCTCTTGGAACTGCGGCCGGCCTGGGGTGAGGAGACTGGGGAGGTGGGAAAGGCCGGGCCAGGGCTCTGGGCCAGCTGCTGTCCCCTCCGTGGGGGTCCCCGACAGGGACCGGGCAGGGCCGGCGAGTGCGCGTGACAGGGTCTCTGGGCCGGGCTGTCTCACTCACCCCAACCCCCCGACGCTCACCAACATGGCCCGAAGCTCCATGCTGCTGGGGAGCTCCAGACGGCCACCGAAGCGCAGCGTTCTCTGCAGGTTCTGCTCACAGGCCTTGGCGATCCCTGCAGAAAACGGGAGTCAGGGCCTGGCCCAGGGTGGGCAGGGGAGAAAGGGGCTCCTCCAGCCCCAGCCCTGAGTCCATGGGGCGGTGTGGGGGGGTAGAAGGGTGGGGCCGTGTGTCTGCTCTCCCTTCAGCGGCTGAGGAGACAGTTCAGAGGGCAGTGATTTACCCAAGGTCAAGAGCCAGAGTGTAAGACCTGGATCTGAACCCCATCCCATGCAGTGGAGGCCTGCACGCCTTGCTTATCCATGAGCCCCGCAGACAGCTGGTGACTCGGGGCTTGTCCCGCGCAGGCCGTGTGTGGCTAAGATGACGCGGCTGTGCGCAGCATCCCGGCGCAGAAGCCCCCACCATCTGTTTCCCCATCTCTCTGGGCTAAGCAGTACCCTCGCCCTGCTCTGGGGAGGGGTCAAGAGGGCTGGGCACACTCTGCCACCTTCCCTGGAGCTGAGTCTCTTCACTTCTGAGTCCAGGGAAGTCTGCTGTCTGAGTCAGAGGAGTCTTCAGAAGCAAAGAGAGTGAGGTCCCCGTCTGCTTCACGGCCGCCGTGGTAACCACAGGGGCCCCGGTCTCTCTCTTAGGGGGACCCAGGGGTTGCTCTGGAAGCTAGGCTGGGGCTGAGGCTGAGGAGCGGCCCCTTTCCTCCAAAATCCAAGGGGAAAAGGCCAAGACCCTGCCACCAGCCTTGGCGCCCCTGCCTGAACCCTCTCAAGACTCCTGTTGATTCCCAAAGACCAGAGAAACAGGGCCCTGCCACCTCCTCCGCTTCCACTCCCACATGCCACACATCCTCCTCTCTGGGCCTTCACCCCTGCTACTCAGCCTACCTAGAAATCCCTCCCATGTGCTCACGACCCAGAGCAACACTTCCTCTGGGAAGCCTTCCCTGATACGCCATCCTCCGCCCCCCGCCATTAGATCAGACAACCCTTCGCATCAGCCCCTGCGGGACCTCCACAAACGTTTGGGGATGGACTGACATTAGTAAACATTGCCCGGGCACCTGTGAAGGGCCAGGCCCTTCGGCCAGCTGCCCGGCCGGTCCTCACGCAGACAAGCCCTTGGCCCTGACTCCCCGCCCGCTGGCCCCTCACCCTGGAAGGGCAGGCCCGGGGTCCGGCCCACGTCTTGGAGGAAGCGAACGAGGTGTGGCTGGAGGACTTTGGAGCAGCTGCGGTAGGCAGCCACGATGTACAGCAGCCTCCAGCCTCGCTGGCAGCTGTCCCTGCGAGGACACACACGGGGCTACGTTGCAGGTGGCCGCCGCACTACGGTGCCACGCCAGGAGTCTCTCCCACTCTCAGGCGGCTCATCTTCTGAGGAGGCTCCTCCTCCCTGCCCAGTGAGAGCAGGGCCGGCGGGCCCAGAGCCGTGCAGAAGCTGTGTTCTATTGAGAATCCAGGCGGGAGGTAGGGAAGGCAGAGGACGAGCCCCCCCACCCCCACCCCCGGCCAAAAGACAAGCCTTCCCTGGGGGCATCTCTCTGGGTGACGGGAGGGCCGGGGGGACCCTGTGCAGAGCTGGTGGCGGGTAAGGCTGGGAGGGAGGGGCAGGAGGACGTGCTGAGTGACTGAAATTCCTGGTGGCTGCGAGCAAGTGGACAGGAGGTTGGCACACGGTTTGGGTCCCCACTGTGTGCTGGTCATGTGCGGGACACGGAAGCTCACCTTTGTGCTGCCCTGGTGTGAGGGTTTCATTGTGGGGACCTCCGGCGTCTAGGGACAGCACTTGGGCTTCCTTTGGGAAACCACCCACCCCTCCCCGGTCCCTGTGGTTTGGAGATGGGTATCAGAGCCAGGACCAGCCAACTAGAACACTGCAGCCCCCACCCCTGCCACGGCGACTGGTTTAGGGATGGGTGTGGGAGCCAGGTCTGGCCAGTTAGAGTTCAGCCTCCCTCTGGCTATGGTGATTGGTTTGGGGACAGGCACATGACCCAGGTCTAGCCAATCAGAGCTCTGTATCGTCCAGTCGTTGTGGTTGGCTCAGGGATGGGCATGGGACCAATAAGACTGGATTTGGGAATTTTTGCTGCAAATATTGGGTCAGTCTTGCTTTCCCTGGGATTGCTGAGCTGGGAAATGTTTCTCTCCAACCTATGGGATATGTTGCTTGGGAACGATATCAACACAGAGGAAAGCAGGGCCAAGATACAGAGAAGGACTGCTTCCTGGTGACGCTTGGATCCAGCTGTGCCTGAGGTCCTATGTTAGACTCTTCAGTTACCTGAACCCTCTTTTACTTAAACTAGATTTAGTTGGGTTTCTGTCACCTGCAACCAAGAACCTGGACTCACACATTATCACCACGTTTTCCAGATAAGGAAACTGAAGCTCAGAGACAAGAAAGGGCTTGTCCCAGACCAAGCACGCTCTGTCCATGAAGTGAGGGAGAGACAGGGGGAGAGACTCCGGAGGCTGACCTGGCTCCTCCTGGAGCATGGATGCGCTGGGGGGAGGGGAAGACACTCACTGCTTGGTGCTGGTGTTGTCTGTGATCTGCTTCACAACTTGGCAGTAACACTCGTCCCGCATGACCTCATGGTCCCTGCACAGCTGTAGGAGGGTGGGCCAGGTCACAGGTCACACGCCCAGCACATAGGAACAGGGTGGGCACTTGGAGATGGGCCTGGTGCCCCTTCCCCAGACCCCTCCCCACCAGTGGGATGCATTCCTCTTTGGGCCACATGAGAGCTTCCCCCCGCCAAAGTCCTGCTACTCTGGTTGACAGATGGGGAAACAGACACTGGGCAGGCGAGGGAGCACGAGCAGTCAGCTGGACTGACCTTCAAGAGGGTGCAAAGCACGTCCAGTTCACTCTGACCCTTCAGCGAGGCATCCCCCATGAACCGCATCACAGCTGGAGGAAACACCTGTCCCACTCGGGCCACCAGACCCCCAGCTGCCTGCCCCCCTTGGGGACCCTGGGATTGGACGCCTCCCCGGGAGGCTGTGGCCAGAGGAGGAGGGGGAGGCTCCTCCTCTCTGCAGGGGCCCCACATCTGAGTTGAGGGAAGGGGTGGTGGTGAGCAGGGGTCACAGTGCGGGGTCCCACCTGGCCCAGAGCCCTGGCCGCAGTCCCACCCCCACACCTAGAAACATGTCTGTGGCCATCTTGTTGAGGCTGCTGTCGCTGAGCTCAATGAGGGAGTCCTGGAGCGGGGTCTGTGGGGAGAGGTGCTGGGTCACCAGGAGGCAGGGTCTTGATGGGAGGGGCTGAGTCATGGGGGTGGGGTCTGTGATGGGAGGGGCTGAGTCGGGAGGGAGCAGGGTCTGTGGGGAGAGGGGCTGGGTGACCAGGGGCCAGGGTCTTGATGGGAGGGGCTGGGTTGGGAGGGGGCAGGGTCTTGCTGGGAAGGGCTGTCATGGGGGCGGGGTCTGTGATGGGAGGACTGGGTCAGGAGGGGGAGGAGGGGAGGGCCACATGGTGCCTCCTCTTAAAACAGGAGGGGCCACACCACCAAAAGGCAGCCTGGACGCCACTAGGGAAGACACTGCCCCTGGGAGGAATGCAGGCCCTCGGGGTGCTGAGTGCTTGGGTCCCACTGGGGACAAGGCTGTTTGGCCCACAGGCCCGGGAGGGGGCTCTTGTACCACCATTTTACAGAGGGGGCCTGCGGCTAGACACCTTGGTGAAGCAAAGCATGTCCTCCAAGGTTCTGGACTCCCGGCCCTCCTTGGATTTCGGCCTGAGGCCATCCCTGCAACAGGAAGCTGACACTACTGACCAGTCTCGTCTCCAAACTTTGGCTACACCCGCTTCCCACCTGGAGTGTGCTTGACTCAGTGTCAGCCCACCGGGTAGCAAGGCTCCCGAAGTGGAGGCTGCAGGTGGGCCTCACCCCTCAGGGTTTCTCATCTCCCCCCAGAACTGGGGCCTCCCGCTTGGGCAGCTGCAAGAAGCCCCAGAGGGACCCTCCCCAGGGTGGGGATGCCGTGTGGGGCCACCACTCACTGGGGTCTCCTCTGAGGGTCTCGGAAATACTTCTGGGCAAACTCAAGCATTGTGTACGGTGGGAGAGCCAGGCCGTCCTCCCCGCGGTCCACAGAGCCAGCCCTGACTGGGGGACCCTGCAAGAGGGCCAGCCGCCGTACCCCGCCCAGTCAGAGCGGGCCCAATGCCACCCCCGGCTGACTGTGCCCAGACCCTCTCGTGTGGGCCCACTGCCCCCCCAGTGGCCTGGTTCGGCTGACCCTTACCCCTCACTGCTTTCTCTCTCTCCACCCTGGCGAGCTCTGTGCCACAGGACTGGACCTGCCCCCCTCACCTGGCCCCGCCCCGGCCCAGGTGGACTTCACCTGCTGGCTGGCCCAGGCTGGTCCTGCCCCATTGGCCTGGTCACAACCCTTCCGCTGACCCTCACCCACCTGACCCCACTGGCCATGCCTCCAGCCATCTCTGGTCATGTCGGGGCAGGGGGGTCACATCCCAATAGGTCATACGTCTGGCTAGCTCAACCAGGATTCCGGGCCCCAGGATGGCCTGCTCTTGGCTAAGCCCCTCCCCTCCACCTCCACAGTCAGGCTGACCCCCTTACTGTGTCCGCCCTTCGGCCCAGCCCCGGGCAGCTCTCACCTCCCTCCTGCGGCCCACCTCCCGGGCAGCGGCAGCGGAGGCCACGGCGGCGGCCACGGCGGCAGCGCGGCCCCGGCCCGGCTCTGCAGGCAGCTGCAGAAAGTCGGGGGCAGCCGCAGGCTGCACCAGCTCGGAAGGGAAGCGGCCCACACGCCCATGGATGGTCCCAAATCGCCAACCTAGGGGGCGGGAAGGGCTCTGAGCAGCGGGAGGGTCTCATCTGGGGAGCAGGGGGGCCCAGGGATACAGAGCTTGTGCGGGAGGTGTGTCACAGGGCCATTTACAGAGGAGGACACAGCTCTGGGAAGGGAAGGCATTCCCTCAGCGGGAGCTGCAGAGAACAGAATGCAGTGCTTGTGGACCCTCGGGCCACACACATGGAAACGCTAATGTCCACAGAGACCCTTCAGCCAGATATGTGGGCAGAGGCCTGGGCTGCATGGCCGCCTTAGGAGCTGCAGCCAGGCCAGACCCTTTGGGACCCCACAACCCAGAATCGTGCATCCGCTCTGTTTGGGGTTTCTAGGTCTGGCAGCTTTGGCAGCTGAACGGGCGTCCCGGGGTACCTACCGAAGTCAGGACCTCGACGCCGCAGCTCCTCCAGGTACACAACCTTCTTGCCGACCACACAGCCAGCACTGTAGCCTGAGGGCCAGACCTACGTCAGCACCCACTGGGAAGCGCACCGCCCCCCCTCCCGCCGTGCCCACCCCTCCCCGTGGCGCTGACCCATTCGAGGTGGCTCCAGGGGCTGCAGGTGGATGATGTCGCCTTTGTGGAAGGCCAGCAGCGCTGGGTCCTCAGGCAGGAAGTTCCTCACAGCGACCACGTAGTCCGAGTCCTGGGTCAGCCGGGGACTGGGTGAGGGCTGCAGTCCCATCCCCCTCGTCCCGGAGGCCAGGGGCCACTCCCCTGCCCCTCACACAGGACGTCAGAGCACTGGCCCAGGCCTCACCCCCTCCACCCCTCCCGAAGCCTCCCCACTGAGGCCAGGTGCCGGGCCTGGGGGCTGCCTGGTCTGGAGGGAGCATGGGGGTGGATGCTCCCACTGCAGTGCGCAGCGGCGAGCAATGCAGTCCTTGCAGGAGGGTGAGCAATGCAGCTGCCCTGGAGCCCAGAGGCATCAGTAAAGGACTTTGGAGGAGCGGGCAGAGGGCAACGGGCATCCCAGCTGGAAGGCACAGCCCGCGCAAGAGCCTATGGGCTCGGGTGCTGCCGCGCACACGCATCCGCGCCTCCCAGGCACGAGCCCCGCCCTGGGCCCTCGGCCCGCTGGGGCGTCTGTGGGAGGGCCCTGACCTGCTTCAGCTCCAGGATGAAGTCGTCCACCAGGGCCTTGACCTGCCGAGCTCGGGCGGAGAAGAGAATGACCTGCTCGCGGGCCAAGTTGAACTCCAGCATGTTCCGGGAGGGGATGGTCACAAACAGGATATCCGCAAAGCTGGAGGGTGGGAAGGTGTCCTGAGGGCAGGACCCCGCAGCTAGAGGGATGCCCTCCGCCTCCCGTCCGGCTCCTTCTGCGCCTGCCGGCCTCCCCTCCCCTCCTGTCCGCAGCTCTATCGTGTTGCCCACACCCTGTGAACCCACAACCTTCCAGCGCTCCCCAAGTTGTGCCTTTTATGTTTTGGCCTCATGATCCAGCCTCCCAGACTTTGCCCACACAAATCTCTTTCAGTCCTTGAGCAAACTCTCCAGCTCCTGAAGCAAGGAGCCTGCACCTAACCGGCGAGTGAGGCTCCCCCTGTGCTCTGGTACAAAGGACAAGTGGGCTGCTAGGAGGGAGGAGTCCGAGGACTCAGGAAGGTCTCACGCCGCCGAAGCACCCTTTCCCTTCTGAGCTGCGTCTGCATCTGGCTGTTCACACGGTCGCCCCCGCTGCACGGCGAGCTCTGTGAGGGCCGGGCTGCGGCGTGGCCGGAGATGGGGATGGGGTAGTGGCTCCCAGCTCCCCACTTCTTGGCTGTGGGACCCAAGACAAGCAACACCTCTCTATGAGCCTGTGTCCCTGATTGAAGGGCTCTGGCACAGAGCCGTGCATATCGTAGGTACAGTCGCCCCTCGGTATCCGAGGGGGATTGGTTCCAGGGCCCTTTGAGGGCACCAAAGCCCACGGATGCTCAAGAGCCTCCTATAAAATGGCCTGATATTTGCACATAACCTACGCACATCCCGTATACTTTAAACCACCTCCAGATTACTTTTTTTTTTCTTTCCAGATTACTCCTAACACCTGATTCAATGTAAATGCTGTGTAGATAGTCATAAAAGCAATGTAGACGTTATGTGAATAGTTGCTGGTGAGTGGCAAATTCAAGCTTTGCTTTTCTGGAACTTTCTGAAATTTTTTTTCTGAATGTTTTCCATCCGCGGTTGGCTGAATCTGTGGATGTGGAGCCTGCAGATACGGAGGGTCAACTGTAGGCAGTCAACGGCCGTGGGAAGCGCTGGTGCCGGCCCACGTCCAGCGTCCGGCCAGCCCCATTCCCGCCCACCTGCCAGTCACCTGTACGTGCGCAGGACCCGAAGCGGCCCACCGGCCTCGTGGCTGCCCTTGACCACGCGCAGGAGTTTGATGCCCGTGTGGGACACAGCTAGGATCTGCACGCCGGTGCCCACGCTGCCCTGGGGTGGGGACGAGTGGCACGTGAGGCTCTTCCGGCCTCATCTCTGGAGCCCCTGGGCGGGCAGGGGGCAGGCAGGGGGCTCGCACCGTGGCAGGGAAGAGGCGGGAGAAATAGACCTCCCAGCTGTCGCGTGCAATGCTGACCACGGCCCGCTTCACACTCTCCGTCACCAAGGGCCTTTGCGTGTCCAGCTGGTTCTGGGCTAAGGGACACAGGTCGGGTCAGGACTGACCCACGTGGCGTCGGGGGAGGCTGACCCTCAGCAAGGAGGTGTCAGTCTGTTGTGTTCCCAGTGTCCATACTGGGAAACTGATGTCCACAGACAGACAGGGACAGCCGAGGCCACAGCCGGTCAGGCAGAGCCCAACCCAGACCTGCGGCTGGGCCGGGGGAGAGGCCAGGAGCAGAGCGGGGAGGGTTGGCGGGGGGGGTCTAGCTGGTTGCCCCATCGACATCCTTCCCTCCCCCTGGCCCCCCACGGTACCAAACAGGGCTTTCATCTGGAGCCTCTCCTCTGCAGAGATGCGCAGGCAGGCCTCGGAGAACGTGTCGTGCAGGATCTGTGGGATGAGTGTGACACCGGCGGCCTGTGGGACTCCCCCAACCAGGAGCCCACGCTGGACTGTTTTAGGACAACGGGGAATGTGGCAGGGGTGCCTTTATGCAACAGTGGGGTCGTCTGTGTAAATCAGATCCCACTCCCGAGGATGCTCTCCCTTCTCCTCACCTCCACCCTCCCCAAGCCCTAGTTTCCTCATCTGTATGGTGGGGCTTGGGCTGGACCCCAGGCCCCGGGCAGCTCAGACCAGCTGTGAGTCTGGCTAGGTGGGACTGTGGGCTCTTTGACCCTCTCTACAGTGGGGGACTCGGCAGAACAGCTTCCCCTCCTCACTGTGGTCGAGGACCCCAAATCCAAGAAGGAGGATTTGCAGATGGCTAGGCTACGCACCCCCTGCCCTGCTGAGTACGCGAGGCATTTAGGAAGGAGAGGCCCTCACCTGGCGGAACAGCAGGTCCAGCTGCACAGGGTGGCTGTAGCTGTCCTTGGGGTAGAACACCTGTGGGGGCGGGGTTTCCGTGAGGACCTTCTGGAGGCCCCTCCCCCGCTGCAGCCCCACTCGCTCTGCACCATCCGCGCTCTGACCCTGACCCTGGCTCAGCTCCACCCTGACCCGGTCTCCTGCCCCCCTTGGGTCCCTCTACCCCCATCCAGCCCCAGCTGGGCTCCAACACCTCTTTGCGCAGGAAGATCTGCCAGGGGGCATCCTGGTAGCCGTAGAAATCGGGGCTGAGGAGGCGGTGCAGCCGCGTCTGCACGGGGTCCTCGGCCGGCTCCAGGGACCGTGAGGCCAGCACTGCAGGGGCGGGAGCAAGCTGGGGCAGAGAGGCCTCCTGGCCCGTGGCGTACACACACCTGATCATGTGGGCACACGTGCACACTCACACAGCCCAGCCCTCCTCCCCGCACATGGAGACCCGGCGCCCGCAGGCCCAGCCAGGGGCCGGGGGCCTGGGAGCAGGAGAGACAGGCCGCTGCCTGGAGGCCAGGCCCCGGCAGGTGTGGACGGAACAGACAGTTCAGAAGGACAAAGCTCTCAGTGCCGGGAGCTGGGGTGGAAATAAAACTGGTGACTCAGGAAAGTCTGGGGGCTGGTCTGTGAGGGGCATTCGGTCTGGGCGGTCGGGCAGACCTCTCTGAGGAGGTGACACTTGAGACCTGAATGTTGAGGAGGTGCCGAGCATGCAAAGATCTTCCGGGAAGAGCATTCCAGGCAGAGGGAACAGCAAGGACAAAGGCCCTGAGGCAGGAGTGAGCTCGGTGTGTGCCAGAAACAGTGAGGAACAGAGTGTCTGAGCGGGCAGATGGGATTGGGAAGGTGGGCAGGTCATGCTGTGTCACATGGGCCACAGTGAGGAGTCTGGAGTTTATCCCAGGAGCCACTGGAGTGTTGTTGGCAGGCGTGACGTGAACCAACTGATCTCTGTTAAGATGGCTGTGGCTGCCGTGAGGCAGGAGATGCAGAGGTTAGGGCTCCAGCTGTGACGCCAGGATGCCTGGGTTTCTATCCCTGATCTGATACTTTTGAGCTGTGTGATCTTAGGCAAGTCACTTAACCTCTCTGCGCCTGTCTTCCCACCTGTAACATCTAGAGGCACAAATGGTACTGTGTTGAAGGGTCTTAGTGAGGATTTAGTGAAGTCAGAGTGGGCCGGGACTGAAATCAGTGTTAAGTGTTGATGCAATTACACAAACGTCCACACTGTAGGTCCACACGGGCCCAGGGACACGGACACACATGCCACCGTCACGCAGACCAAGTCTCACCTGTGTTCACACTTGGACACCTGCCCTTGGGCCCCTCCGTCCCTCCCTCCTGGCCCTCACCTGGAGTGGGCCCCACGGATGGCCTTGGTGTGCTGGTCACTGGCTTCACCAGGGCTACGGCCTCTCTGGGGACCTGTCCCTGCCCCAAAGACAGCGCTCAGGGGGGAGCAGCAAGGCCACAGCTTATAGGGGCAGCTGGTTTCTGAGGCTCCCCCAGAGGCCCCACTTTGTCCTGAGTTCCACCTGGGCCCAGCCAGACCCTGCCCCTCACCTGGGTGCCAGGTGCTGCCGCTGCATGGCTCATCTGCCCCCTCAGGATCATCAGGGCCTCCTCGTGGGGGTCCGGCCGCTTCACGAACACCCTCCCGCCGTCCTTCCTGGTGGGTGGGACACTGAGTCTCCTCTTCCCAGCCACATAACTCTACAATAGGGGACTTTTTCCTCCACCCCCATCACTATAAACGAGAACCCAGAGAGGACCAGAGACGGGTGTGGGGTCACACAGCACACCCTAGAGAGCGGTCCTGGCCTCCCTCTGCCTGGGTGGCTCATCTGGACCACCTGTGTGAACAGACTCACTCCCTAAAAGGCCTCCTCGTGGGGGTCCGGCCGCTTCACGAACACCCTCCCGCCGTCCTTCCTGGTGGGTGGGACACTGAGTCTCCTCTTCCCAGCCACATAACTCTACAATAGGGGACTTTTTCCTCCACCCCCATCACTATAAACGAGAACCCAGAGAGGACCAGAGACGGGTGTGGGGTCACACAGCACACCCTAGAGAGCGGTCCTGGCCTCCCTCTGCCTGGGTGGCTCATCTGGACCACCTGTGTGAACAGACTCACTCCCTAAAAGTTGCTGGGCGGGGGGGGCTGCGAACCCAGCAGACAGGCACATGGGTGGCAGCTGCGCAGGCCCGTGGGGAGGCCGCCGTCCGGACGGCTGGAGGGCTGGGGAGGCCGGGCTGACCTGAAGGCCTCGGGCCGGCCTCCGCGGGGCGGCTGCTGGTGTTGCCTGACGATGTCCTTGATCTGCTGTGTGGGCTGCGGGAAGTGCTCCGAGTTGAGGGTCGAGGACCGGACCAGCTCTAGGCCGGGTGAAGCTGTGGCAGGGGCATGGGGGCACAGGTGAGTCTGCCCTCCCGCCCCGCCCTGGGAAGTGGGAGGCCCCCCGGCCGGGAGAGGACACTCACTGGATTCTGGAGGTGCCTGGCCCTGAGCTAGAATGGGGACGGCCACGGGCTTGGTGGGGGGCCTCGGGGCCTTGACCAGAGGAGCGGGAGCCACAGGCTTTGGAGCGCAGCGCAGGAGCACGGGCTTGGCTGGGAGTCCGGTGCCTACGAACTTCGGCCGGGCCTCTGGCGCTATGGGTTTCTGTGGAGAGCAGGGTGTGGGGCGGACTTCCCGGGACACACCAGTCTGCTCTCAGGGACCCCACATCTGCCCAAGAGGGGTTGAGGGGGCTCCTGGCTCAGAGAGGCACAGCGACGCCCCAGGGCACCACAGCACTCACCTGGGGAACCAGGCTCACCTCTGGCGGCGATGGCCTTGGGCTGGGACTCAGGGGCTGCTGCTGGAGCGCCATGGCCTGCAGGGTCATCTCCCGGGCCTGGGGAGAGTAGCGGTGGTGGGCGGGCAGGCCCAGGCCCCGCCCCCCGCAGCCCCCCGCCCCGGCACCCACCAGCAGAACAGCCTGCTTGCGGATGAAGGCTTGCTGCAGGGCCAACGTGGAGGCGTCCAGGCCTGGAACTGGGGGGGCCGTGTCATGGGACGTGGATCCAGAGGCTCGGGAGATGGGGGGGATTCCCTACCATGCCTGCCCCTCCTCCGCTGGCTCAACCTCTCCCCATGGCCGAGGCTGCCTCTGTTCTAGGGCCAAAGCAGCCCTGAGAACCGAGGGGCTCCACCCTGCCCGACCCTGGAACCGACCCGGGGCAGGCACTGACTTAGCTTTGGCTTTGGCTCTGGAGGTCTCCGGGGGCTGCCTTTGCTGCCACTACTGCCATCTCCACCAGGCTGGCCTCCCCCTTTCATGCGGTAGGCAATGGCTGTTGGCTTCTCCAGGTCCTGGGAGCAGGGGCAGGTGGCTCAAGTGACTGCCCCAGTGCCGTACTCCCCGGGTTCCAAGGCAACAGGCACCTGACACCGCCACCGCCTGTGTCCCGGGGGCCTCCCACCGGCCAGCATCTGCTGTGTGCCCGGCCTCCGCTCACACGGCACCCCAGTCAGCCCTCCGGCAACCTTGTGAGCCCCAACCCACCCCTTTCACAGGGGAGCAACTGAGGCTCAAAGGGGCTGCGCACTGCTCAGGGCTTCACGTTATGCCTTGGAGGGGCTCCTGGGAGTTCCCAGAGTGAGCAAGCGTGCCCGGGGTCCCGCTCCCAGTGTGTCCTGGACCCCCAGCTGTGGGTCCTTCCGAGCACCTCTAGCTGTAAGGACACCCTCATCCTTTGCCTGACCCCCAGCAGAGATCCAAAGGAGACACGCCACCCCACGACCCTGGCTGAGAGAGGCTCCTGTGTGCACACGCCGTGCTGTGGTCTGCAAATGCCCTGCTGCGTCCCTACCGCATCCCCGTAGGACAGCACGGGGTCGAAGAGGCTATCCAGGTAGCAGTCCAGTCCTTTGTGGGCCACAGCGGGCTCCCCAAGGCTGTCCGAGTCTGGCGGGGTTGGGGGACACAAAAGTCAAGTCCTTTTCTCCTGCTGACGACCATTCCCGGCTCCCAGCCTCCCCCCCACCAGAGACAGCGGCCACGGCTGGTTGACCTTGGTGGGTCGCTGTCCCTCTCTGGGCCTCAATCTCCCCATTTGTACCGTCCTCATTGCGGCTGCAGTACCCATCGGAGTTGGCCACGACGGGCACGTGCCCCAGGGGCTGGGGCCTAGCGGGCGCGTCCTCGTCCTCGTCCGAGTCCCAGCTGTTTCCAAACACCCTGTGGGGATGGAGAACAGAGAGCAGCTGACCCCCCAGAGACCCAGAGCCCTCCCAGAACCCCTGTTCTCTCCTGTGCCCCGGAACTGGCTGACTCTCTCCCTTTAAAGGCAGGGCCCTGTGGCGAGCCCCACCTCCGTGAGGACCTCGAAGCTTAAGTTCAGAACGCAGTCCCCCACCACCAGCATCCAGGAGGGGGAGGCTTGCGCTAGCAGAGGCCTTCTCTACCTGAGACCTCCCCTGCCAGCCGTGGGCCTCTCTGCACCCACGACAAAGTAGGCTTTCCGTCGCGGGAACTCCCTGAGTAGCTCGAGGTCCGACACCAGGTCCAGCACGTAGTCGTGGCCGGCCAGCTCTGCCCACTGGAGCCCCTTCTTCCTAGCCACCGTCCAGCCCCGCCAGCCGTCGGTCAGCCCCCTGGAGACAGCACGCGAAGGGCTCGGAGTAAGGGACAGAGCTGAGAGGTACCACCGGGGGAGACCTTGGGATGGGAGCCAGACACCACTCATGGCCAGAGTGGACCCTCCGGGGCTGGGGGCCTGGCCTCTCGTCCCTCCCTTCCTCCTTCCGAGGTGCACAGGGGTGCACTGGGTGGGGCATTCCAGGAGCCCACCTGTGCCTCAGAATGTCTCCAGCCACCTCTTCCCCCGTACTCCAGGAGTGCACCGGGCAGGAGAACTGGTCACCTGGGCGGCAGCGGGTGCAGGGCTCAGCCCAGAGCGTCTGCAGGCCAGTCCTGCGGCTCCCGTGCTCTCGTCCTGGACCCTGAACTTGCATCTCACGGCCCTGGCTCCCCTCCCCGCTTCCAGGTCCAGCCGCCGTATGCCCACACACACTGACCTCTCTCCAGGGCTACATCCCGCAGGCCCCTCCCCAGCGCCTCCTAACCCCAGGCTACTGGCGCCTGCTGACTCCGGCTGCCCCTCCGTAGGGCAGGGAGAGGGCAGCTCACCATTGAAGCAGCCCACGTCCAGCGCCATTCCGGCCTTCTCCTGGGTTGCTTTCCACTCGAGCTGGGTCAGAGGGAAGGTGCGGGCAGCGCCAGAGCCCTGCTGTTGGGCCTGGCCCATGGCCTGCATGAGGCGATGTTGACACACAGCCTGGAAGCCATTCCGCCCATAGTCAGACACAAACCTGATGGGTAGGAGTTGGCGCGAGGGTGAGGAGGGACCTGAGGCTGGCCGGGAGTCGGGGAAGGCCCCGAGGCTAGTCAGGGGGCCCAGGCCGGCCCAGAGCTCTGAGAGTGGTCTACAAATGATCTTGGGCAGCCCGGAGCTCCTGGGCTAAGCGGAAAGCGTCCAGGCCAGAGGTCCAAGGACGGCCAAAGCGGTTCCAGGTTGGCCCACCTAAGCTTGTTGGAGCAAAATGTCACTGCCAGGGTAGGGTCTGCAGGGGATGTGAGCAAAGACCTGGCCTCTGGGCACTCCCTCCGCTCCCTCACCAGGCCACCCCGGGCGGTCATCGGCCCTCCCTGAGCCTGCTTCCAAGTTCACAGAGACGGCCGTGCGGGTTCAACCTGACCCAGGACCAACCAGCCTGATCCCTGGCAGTGGCGGGCACTCCTTGTGCCGGGCTCCCTGGCCCCTCCGCACCGCTGGCAGCCTGGCCGGGAGCACCAGAGGAGCAGGCAGACAGCGGCTGCATGCCCAGCTCATGACAGAGCCATGCCCACGGGAAGCCCAGCAGGCAGGTAGTGGCCGTGCCCCCGGCACAGATTCCCAGGGCCGGCCAAGGGAGCTGCCCCTACTGCACGCGGCTCCGGGGAGCTCTGCACGCTCTGTAGTTCACAGTTACCCTGTGAGGTGGGTCCTGTTACCATCCCCAATTTCCAGGTAAGGAAAGAGGCTCAGAGACGGGCAGTGACTTGGCCCCGGTCACACAGCAACTACGATGCTGCCCAGGGCCTGCTCGAGCTCCTCCCCTTGCAAATCATTCATATCACCCAGCACAGTGACATCAACATCACCATCATCTTATCAAGACCAGGGTGCTGACAACGGCTAGGCTACACACACACAGCAGGCTACACTCACCGTGAGCCTGTCTCTGTTCTAAGCACTTCACACGTGTTTGCACATTTAATCCTCACACAGCCTACTACGTAGGTACTCTTATCAGCCCCATTTTATAGAAGAGGAAACAGGCCCAGAGAGATTAAGTAACTTGCCCAAGGTCACACAGGTCATACGCAGCTGAGCTGGGATTTGAACACAGACTGTCAGAGTCTACACTCCTAACCGTACCGCTACACCCCGCCCCCCAAGATGTGAGAGGTCAGCGCCTCTCTTCCAAATTCCCTGCACCCTGGGCTGGCTACCTCCGAGTTCCAGAAGGCTTGTATCCCACCTCACCCAACTCCTGCCCTCTGCGGTGAAGCCCCGGGCCAGCCCCCAAGCCTGAGCTTCCAAGGACGGAGCCTCCCTCCTGGCCCAGCCTGACCTGGCGTCCGCCCCGGCCTGCCAGCTCTACTCACTTGAGCAGGTACTTGTCAAGGCGCGGGGAAGGCGCAAAGCCGCTGAGGCAGGCTGCCAGCAGGAGCCAGCCCCGCTCAGCGTTGTGGGCACTGGGGTTCCGCCACACCTGGTTGGCCAGCTGTGCCAGGATCTCATCCCGCAGCTCGGGCACCGCCAGCCCTTTCTGCACGATGTAGTTCCCGAAGACGTGGTCCCGGGCTCCGTGCAGCTGGGGGTCGCCCATGAAACGCAGGATCTGGCCACAAACAGACTCTCCTGGGCTTCTCGGAGGGCTGTTCCCGCCAGGTCCCCACCCCCACCCCACATCCCTCTCGTGTCCTTCCCATGTCCCCCTGGCCATATGAAAGTCCCCCGTGTTACAGTGTAATAACCATACCCTGGGCCAGGTGAGCCAGCCTTTGGGAAAAATCAAGATTCTCCGGCTCACAAACCTTCTATAGCCCCAGCC